AGTTTAATGACAGACATGGTTTCTTCTGTCATATACCCTTTTCCCTTCCTGCCAGTGTTGATGTACTCTGAGCCACACATGTGTAGCTCAGTGTACATTTATGGCACCACTCTACCCTGATGATGTGGCTCCCATTCGCATTGGGAGATGTCCTCTTGGCATGGCCAACCAAGTGGCCGAAGTGTCAGAGCCCAGAAGAAAAACCATTAGAAAACGGTAGCAGTCCTGATCAACTGACAACACAACACTGGAGGGGATCACTTCCCAGGTAAGTCGGCCATAATGTGCTAATATGCTTTGCATACTAGCACTTTATGGCTAAAAGGTTTGAAAAATATTGCATTGGTTTAATTCTGTTTTAAGTGATACCGGGGGCGGACTGACCATTTGGAAACTCGGGCACTGCCCAAGGGCCCGGGGTCAGTAGGGGGCCCCATGAGATGCCCCTGGTACCTTTTTCATAGGCTTTTTTGAGTTTGGGCAAGGACACAGGGGCCCCATGATCCCCTATTGCCCAGGGGCCCCATGAGTTGTCAGTCCGCCCCTGAGTGATACCTTTTATTGGCTAACTTAAGTGATCTGTTTATAAAAAAAATATGCATAGCCACACATCCAGTTAATATGCGTGTGCTGTATAACTTGTGCAAAAGCAAATGTTTTATAAGCTCTTCTGAACGTATCTTCTTTTTTTTTTAAGGGCATTAGTAAATGACTGCTTATGGCCACTAGATGGAGCTGAGGAGCATGAATCCTTGTAACAAGAGATACAATGTAACAATTCTAGAGCATGCTGGCTGGGATTAGCAAATAAATGTAAGCAAAGGTTTATAGTGCTATTACAAGTGTGATCAAAAATATTTTATTTGTATGAAATTGTTAGTTTATACATACATTTCACTGGTGTGTTCAAATCAGAGGGCTCCTGCACAAGTTGCATGGAATTCTTATTTGTTTTTAGGGTTTAGGGTGTTATTATTTCTCATATTGTTTGCTGCTGATTTCTTCTGTGAGGGGATTGTGGTGGTTTTATACTTAGTCTATCCTTGGCCAGTATGCACGTTTGTGTGATTGTAGTTTAGGTTAATCTTGGCTGCTGCTGTTGAGTAGGAAAGCTCACCTGTGTTGAAAATAGTTTTGTAGTGTTTTGTTCTGCAAGTATTAGTCTATATGGAAAAAGAAAAACATTTTAGTCAACCTTCTAGACCAGGGGTGGGCAAACTTTTTGACTTGAGGGCCGCAATGGGTTCATATATTGGACCCGGGGGCCGGACCAAGAGTAGATGAATGATGTGTATGTGTCATCCATAGTAAGTATAGTAATATTAGTAATTAATCCCCCATAGTAATTAATCCCCCATATAGTAATTAATCCCCCATATAGTAATTCTGTAAATTCATCCCCATTAGTAATTCATCCCCCATAGTAATTCAAATATATAGTAATTTATAGTAATTTAAATAGTTAATTCGTTTAAAAATTCTAGTAATTCCATTGCCCTATAGTAATTTCCCCCATAGTAATTTTATAGTAATTCATCCCCCCACATAGTAATTCATCCCCCATAGTAATTCCTCCCCCATATAGTAAGTCCCCCATATAGTAATTCATTCCCCATATAGTAAGTCCTCCAATATAGTAATTCATTCCCCATATAGTAAGTCCCCCATATAGTAATTCATTCCCCATATAGTAAGTCCTCCATTATAGTAATTCATTCCCCATATAGTAAGTCCTCCATATAGTAATTCATTCCCCATATAGTAAGTCCTCCATATAGTAATTCATTCCCCATATAGTAAGTCCCCCATATAGTAATTCTTCCCCATATAGTAAGTCCTCCATATAGTAATTCATTCCCCATATAGCTAAGTCACCCATATAGTAATTCATTCCCCATATTATAGTAAGTCCTGTATAGTAATTCATTCCCCATATAGTAAGTCCCCCATATAGTAATTAATTCCCCATATAGTAAGTCCTCCATATAGTAATTCATTCCCCATATAGTAAGTCCTCCATTAAGTAGTAATTCATGCATAATTCATGTAAGTCCCCCCCCTGTGTCAATTCACTTACCTTTGGTCCGCGCGTTCTTCGTATTCCCGCGCCGTTTCTGGTCTTCAGGGAGGACTGTGAGAGGAGTTCGTCACGCTGCCCCGCCTACATCCTGACAGCTGCAGAGTCCTGACGTCCGAGAGGAGGGAGGGCCATCCGAGAGGGGGGGGCGGCCATCCGAGAGGAGAGGAGGGGAGGGGAGAGGAGGAGAGGAGGGAGGGGAGAGGAGGAGAGGAGGGAGGGGAGCGGGGGCCCCGGCACACAGGAGAGCCGCATCTAAATTTGTAAAGAGCCGCGGCTTGCCGACCACTGGCCTTGCGGGAGCCTAGCTCCGCGGGCCGGATTAAAAGGTCCGCCGGGCCGTATACGGCCCGCGGGCCGTAGTTTGCCCATTGCTGTTCTAGACTGTAAAGTAAAATAACAGATATTAAAGTGTTATTAAATCTTCCTATTTAAAAAGTGTGTAATACTTCTTCTGACCTCAGTACCTACTACTGTATGTTTAAATGGTGCATTCTTGTGAAGCCTGCCATTGCTTTGTAATTTTCTTCTTGACATTTGCTCTCCTAGGTTTCCTGTTGTAGCGTGGCTCCATTACCTTGCAGAATTCCATAGAGCCACCTTGCATGCATGCATGTGCCCACCTGGGACTACGATTGTACATGCATATGCTAGCTATGCAAATACACACAGCCCTGAAAACCAGGAAAGCAAGACCCACCCCTGCTCCTCCTCTAGTAGAATGACTGTGGCTCCTGGGGCAGGCTCTAAGGGATGATGGGACATGTAGTCCCACATAGTGTGACCATGTGACCTGCTCATTTAAAGTGTAGCTCCACTCAAAAGTGGAATCTCTGCTTGTTTGCCTCCTCCCCTCCTTCACTGCCATATTTGGCACCTTTTGAGGGGGAGGGGGGAGTGGATACCTATTTTTGACTGGTACCCACTCCCATTTCCAGCTCAGTTCGCCGCGGTGAAGTGATCCGGACGTTCAGACCCCCTCCTTCCTCCCGCAGTCTCCTGGGAACCTTCACAGGTCCCAGAAGACTGCTGGACCAGTCAGAATGCGCAGAGTTAAAATATGTAAACTTACAGTGGAACTTTATGCACAAAATATAAAAGGGCCAGACAGGCAGGATATTTAATGCAAAAGAGACATGCTTTGTCTCTTCTGCACTAAAACTACTTACCTGTCTGTCCACTTTTGTACAGTGAGCTGGTAGCTGCATTGCTGCAATTGTTGGCGCTTGCACCCAATTCATGTACAGTCGTGGCCAAAAATATTGGCACCCCTGCATTTCTGGGAGATAATGCACCACTTCAGCCAAAAAATTGTTGCAATTACAAATGTTTAGGCATTCTCATGTTTATTTCTTTTGTTTTTATTGGTATGATACAAAAAACTGGAGAAACATAAAGGCAAATCTGACACATTCCACACGAAACTCTAAAAATGGACTGGACAAAAATTATTGGCATCCTCAATTTAATATTTGGTAGCACACCCTTTGGTTAAAATAACTGAAATCAATCACTTCCTGTAACCATCAATGAGTTTATTCCACCTCTCTACTGGAAGTTTGGACCACTCCACTTTCGCCAACTGCTCCAGGTCTCTCAGATTGGAAGGGTTCCTCTTCCCAACTGCTGTTTTGAGATCTGTCCACAGGTGTTCTATGGGATTGAGATCTGGACTCATTGCTGGCCAGTACTCTCCATCACTTTGTCTGAAACCATTTCTGGGTGTTTTTTAACGTGTGCTTCGGGCTATTTTCCAGCTGTACCCATGACCTCTGACAGAGACCCAACTTTCTGACACACTGGGCCCTACATTGCACCCCAGAATTCTTTGGTAGTCTTTATTTCATAATGCCATATACAGTTGCAAGAAAAAGTATGTGAACCCCTTGGGATTACGTGAAGTTTTGCATGAATTGGGCATAAAATGTGCTCTGAACGTCATTTAAGTCAAGTAGCAGAATACATTTTGGCCTAAAGTTATGAAGACATTTTATTTTTTTAAATTTTTTTACTGGATATCTTTTATAGCAAAAAGTCAGAAATATTTTTTTTTTTTTTTTTTTTTAACTTGTAGGTCTTTTTTTTGTTTATAGCGCAAAACAATTAAAAATGCCCAGGTGATCAAACACCACTGAAAGAAAGCTCTATTTGTGGGAAAAAAAGGACATACTGTAAATTTCATTTATGTACAGTGTTGCATGACTGCACAATCGTCAGTTAAAGTATCGCAGTGCCGTATCGCAAAAAATGGCCTGGTCAGGAAAGGGGTAAATCTTCTGGAGGGCAAGTGCTGTTTTCTTGTATGTGCATGGGTTCTGATTGTATAGTTCGAAATCACTCTGTACATTGGACGCTAGTAAATCATCCCATAATCTGCCACTCACTGGTCAGCCATTGTAAGTGCAACACAATTTATCAAAACCAAGATGGCCAACGGAAAGCCAGAAAGGCTGAGCAGCTTGGAAATATCTTGCCAATACTTCCTAGATTGTAAGCTCCAAGGAGCAGGACCCTCGTAACCCTTTTCTATTGAACTGTATTGTTGATGTATTGTCTCCCGTTATATTGTAAAGCGCTGAGCAAATTGTGGGCGCGATATAAATCCTGTATAATAATAATATTATAGGAGGTAACATCAAGTAACACCTGTAGAAACATATTGTATTTCGATTTTACTAGTATAGATTTTAACTTGGGTGGAAATTACAATTATTCATCTGTCCACTAAATTGGACATCAGGCATCACAGGTTGTATTTTCAGCTACAATTCATACTATTACTGCAATTTTGTTTTTACTGAAAATAATATAGCTGCAGTATTTTTTGGTTGTAAATCAATTTATTCATACTATTAGAATGCAATTTGCTGTTTTTTGTAGCAAAAACATCATTTTGTGCAGATAAGACCCATTATGTGAGTAACAGTTAAAGTGGTAGTGATGTCCAAATTTCAAAAACCTCTGACAAGCAGGGTTATTATAACAGGAGACGCTAGCAGGGGCGGACTGACCATTTGGAAACTTGGGCACTGCCCGAGGGCCTGGGGTCAATAGGGGGCCCCATGAAATGCCCCTGGTACCTTTTTATAGGCTTTTTTGGGTGTGCTTTGAGTTTGGGCAAGGACACAGGGGCCCTATGATCCCCTATTGCCCAGGGGCCCCATGAGTTGTCAGTCCGCCCCTGGACGCTAGTGTTCTCTTCTGTCATAAATGTCCCCTGCCTGTCAGCATTAATGTGATCTGAGCTCGTGCATGAGCAGCTTAGACCATATTTATGGCCTGCTCTGTGTGCCACGGTGATGTGACACCCATGCCTGGTCATTCAAGCGGCCAAAGATACAGAACCTGGAAGGAAGACTGAGTGAAGATGGAAGTGCTGGGGACCTGGTGAAGCTGTGACAGCACAGTGCTGGAGGGCTCCCTGTGCAGGCAAGTCTGTCAAAATTCACTAGTATTTGATGCGATGGTTATACCGGGAGCATAGTTGAGGCTACACCCACGTTCCTGGTATCATTTTGTACACCTGGTGATTCCCTTCATTGTAAAAATAATCCTAACAACTATACAGTCAGTGGATGAATTTTTTAAAAGCACCCCTGTCCTCCCATGCTCACGCACAAAGCAAACGCAAGCTTCGGGCTTGCATGCACATGTAAATGGCATTCGCGCCACACATGTGAGATATGACTGCAAACGTCACAGTGAGAGCAATCATTCTAGCACCAGAGCTCCTGTGTAACTCTAAAGTAGTAACCTGTAAAGGCTTTTAAAGTGTAATCTTATGAACAATTTAATGTCATCATTCCACAGGCATGCACGATTTTAAAGTGTGACATGTTAGGTATTTATTTGCTCAGCGTAACATCTTCTTTTAGATTTTAGCAAAAATTGGGTACTATATTGTGTTCCTCTTCACTAAAATTCTTTAAAGTGTTACTAAACCCACAGCAGTAAAATCAGTCTGTATATGCAGCAAAGCATGCTTGTTATACTCACTGTGGAATCTAAGGGGTTAATCCTCCACATTGGGTAAAAAGGATGTTTGATCCTGTTTTCTCTGTACCTCCCCTTCTTTTATTCTCCCCAATCTATTTGCTGATAGAACAGAGCTTTGGGGCAAGCTGCACATGCTCAGTTTGGTGTGTATTGCTAGAGAGGTTTTTCTTCTTGGGAGAGTGCATGTGATCAGCACAGGGCCAATCAGCACTGTCCAGATAGAGGGGCAGGGGTCCTGCAGCCTCATAGGACAATCAGGGGAGAATGAAAACTCCTCCTACAAACTTTAACCTGCTCTGCTGGACACTGATAGAAGTCACATAACTGCTCTAACGGCTGATGAGAAAAGGTATTTAGCAGTTTATATTTACTAAAATAATTTTATTTCCATGTTGTGTGTACTGTGGGAGACCAGGTATAATGAATACAGGGTCCTGGGTTTAGTAACGCTTTAAAGTGTGTTTTTGCCAAAAATGTGCGTTTAAAAAGCTGCTGTGCAAATATCGTGGGACAACACCATTGCAAAACCTTCTGTTTTATTCTCTAGGACCTCTGCTTGAAAAAATATGTTTTGGGGTCCTAAGTATTTTCTTGCAAACAAAATGCAGATTTTTTTACATGTAGGACAGAAATGCCAGAAGTGTGAATTTCCAAATAACAATAGTAACAAATGTCAGCTAAATCAAATTTGAAAAGGAATTCAAATTCTAAATGGAAATATTGCAATAAATACAGTAAAGTATTCAAGTGAAATAAGATGATGATTCCTGATTAGGCTGCTTTATAGAATAGAATAGAATATAACAGTATGTCTGTACGTCTGTGTGTGCAAAACAGAATAGAATAGAATAAAACTGAATAAAATAGAACAAAATTGCATAGAAAATAAAAGAATAGAATATGAAAGAATAGAGTAGAATGGAATATAATAGAATAAAATAGAAGAAATAAAGCTGTCTTCTGAAATTCGAATATCAAATCGCTTTGAAAATAATGAATATACTAAATGAATCCGAATATACAAAACAAATTCTAAAAGCAAATCATCATGCACATCACTACAGAGGACAAAGGGGCACTCTTTACGTCTGGAGGAAAAGAGATTTAACTCTCACATATGGAAAGGCTTCATCACAGTACGAGCTGTGAAAATGTGGAATAGACTCCCCCAAGAGCTGGTCCTAGCCAGCTCAGAAGACTGTTTTAAAAAAAAATCCTAAATGCACATAATGTAACTGGAAATTAATATTTAGAGGTAATAACATCTTGGGTACTTGATCCAAGAAATATCTGCTTGCCTCCCAGGGGATCAGGCAGGGATTTCCCCCCCCCACTGGAGCAAATTTGAGCATGCTTCATTGGGGCGGGGGTTGCCTTCCTCTGGATCAGCTGTAGGACTGTGTATATGGAGGTTTTTCAATCTTGTTGGTTGAATTAGATGGACTAGTGTCTTTTTTTCAACCTCACTAACTATGTAACTATATGTATCATTTTAATATTTGTATAAAAATATGAATGTTTCAAATTTTAAATACAAGAAGTTTTATTTTTGTGCAGGGAACGCTGTGCTGTCTAATAAAACAATCCAACACTAGCTCTAGACTGCTGGTGCAAGCTGGAGTCCTATACACCACTGTCTTGTTCAGCATATTCATTAAGCTGTTTGGGTAACCTGAGATCTTGCTTTTAAGTCTATATTCACAGCACAGCAGTTAACAGTTATCTAAAGCCCTGGTGTTCCTGGCTGGCATCTGCTACCTGCCGGCTACAAAACAGTAAATAGGAAATATTTCAATCTATTTGATTTTCAATAAATACAAATATTTTTGAAAATGGTATGTTTTACCACTGGACATAATACATAAAAACATAATTTTACTTGGAATTGTATGCTGCTGATCTACACAAGAATGTCAGTAAGGCCAGGGAAGCAGCCGATAAGACTGATCTGTGTCTGATCAGCTGCATTAGAGACCAAAGGAGAGATGGGGTGTCTAATAGACCCCCATCTCTTCATAAAGAGGACCTGTCGCTCCGCATGCTATTACAAAGGATATTTTTCATCCCTTGTAATAGAAATAAAGTTGATCACAAACAAAATGTAAAGTTACAGTGTAAAAAAAAAAAATTTAAATGAAAAAAAAAGAAAGTGCCCGTTACCCTGGCAAATGCGAACGCGTATGTAGGACCTACATGCATAAGTAAACAGCGACCACCCCATACATGTAAGGTGTCACTGTGAATGTCAGAGCGAGAGCAATAATTTTAGCAAATCCAAACAAAAAAAACACTTTACTCCTGCGCTAGGAAAGGACTCAGTAGACCCAATAGGAATGTTCTGGAATTTTCTGGAATATGCACTGCTTGCTGCCCTCAACAGACCAGGGTGGTCCGAATACACTGGATACAAATGGAGAAACAGAAAAAGGGCGCACCGACCTAGTGCATTATCGTTTAAAATAATTTATTAAAGAAACAAAAATAGGTATCATACTCACAATGGACATAATAACACAGGCATGTCAAACTGAACAAGACATATGATCCAAACAACATCTGAGTCCATACGATGGAACCCTGGATGACCAACTGGCTAACGCGTTTCAAGGACATAACCTGGCTCTGAGGAAGAGGTTATGTCCTCAAAACGCGTTAGCCAGTTGGTCATCCAGGGTTCCATCGTATGGACTCAGATGTTGTTTGGATCATATGTCTTGTTCAGTTTGACATGCCTGTGTTATTATGTCCATTGTGAGTATGATACCTATTTTTGTTTCTTTAATAAATTATTTTAAACGATAATGCACTAGGTCGGTGCGCCCTTTTTCTGTTTCTCCATTTGTATCCAGCAATAATTTTAGCACCAGACCTCCTCTCTACCTCTATAGAGATGTGTAGGTGCCATAATTTGGCGCCGGTCCACGAGTGGATGCAATTTTAAAGCTTGAAATGTTTGGTAACTATTTACTTAGCATAACATCATCATTTATATTCTACCAAACAACTGGGTATTATATTTCTAGATTATAAGCTCTAACGATTAGGGCCCTCTGTTTCCTCTTGTACCAAATTGTATTGTAACTGTAATGTGTGCCTTCATTTTGTAAAGAGCTGTGAAAAATGTTGGCGCTATATAAATCCTGTATAATAATAATATTTTATTCTTGTGCATTAGAATCCATTAAAGTATATTTTTTCAAAACAATTTGTGTTTGAAAAACTGCTGCGCATATATCATGTGACATAAAAATATACAATGCCCACCATTTTATTCTCGAGGACCTCTGCTCAAAATATATATAAACAATGCTTGGGGGTTCTTAGTCATTTCTAGCAAAAGACAGATGTTTTTTACATGTAGGACAGGAATGCCAGAATTGTCCTGGACTGGAAGTGGTTAATATATATTGAAATATATTTCGAAATATATTGAATACGGCCAAAATTGTAGTATTTCAAACATATGTCAATATATTTGGGAATAATATTTTTAAAATATATTTAAAATATATTTTTCTTCCATGTGGGTAGGTTCCACAGTGAGTATAACAAGCATGCTTTACTGCATACACAGACTGATTTTACTGTTGTGAGTTTAGTAACACTTTAAGAAATGCAGTGTATGTTCATTGTGAATACAGTACCCATATGGAACTATCCATGTATTTGTTGCCATTTGTTAGTATCCAATTGTAAATGTAACACATCAATACACTAAATACCAACCATTTACAGACTGCACAAATCTGAAGGAATCTATATGGTGTTTCTCTTTTCCTTTTTCACGTTGTGTACAAACCATTTCAAGCTCTTCAATTTCCCAGCATTGCACTACTTTTCATTCTGAATTACGACAAGTAAAATTTGTTTTTTTAGACCAAAAATACAACTAAGTAAAAATAACAGGATTTTTGATTTTCTATAAAATCTTTTTCTTCATTAAGGGGCACAGGACCAGAAGGAATTCTGAGACAACC